GTTAATCAAAACAATTCAGCCCATACCGAGCTATACCGAATTTAGTCATTGCTTTGTCGACCAACATGGCCTCCTTGTCCCAAAAAGAAGTTGCGGAAGCTGTAATTTGAATCAATACCAAAGTTTTTTTTTTTTTCAATGTGACATTATTAAATTGACGCTGTAATCAGAATCAAATAAGAACTTGGGAATATTTTAAAGTCAAGACTAATGTTGCAAGTTAAAAGACTAGTTTTTTTTTATTATGCAAAATTCAAGAATTTTTCCCGCACTTCATCGAAAAATCCTTTCGCGAGTTAGTTTTCCAATATTCAGTTGTCAAATTAACTTGGACAATTGCATGCTAGTACGATGATGACTAAGTTTGCAGTTTCGATTTCTTGTTAGATCTTGTATGCTGTTCGGTGGGTTAGCTATCCGCAACGGTTTATTTTTGTGTCCATTACAATTAAGCAACAAATTATTTCAAATTATTTTCTTCGTAGGAGAGATTCATTTGGCAGGGATAGGTAATACATCGTTATCAAATATTGTTTTCGGGAGAGAAAAATTTTTTGAAAAAATGTGGCTTAACCGTGAAACAATAACTAAAAAATAAATAAACAAAATATTAGTTTATTTCCAAACAATTATTGCCATAGATAAATCTCCATCTTACGTCTTAAAGAACTCATTGTTATCTTTGGTTACTCTGCAATTTGATTTAAGTCATTAAGTTATTCCGTTTGATAAAATCAAATAATGAAAAATTTTACATTCAGAAATATTACCTTTGCAGTGAAACCAATTGCACGCCTGACTCACTGAAATAACGATCAAACAAATTGAAACGCGATATGAAATTTAAGGCCGAGGTACGGAAAAAACCATTTTAAGGGCATGTGTGTCATTATTAAATTGACGCTGAAATCAGGGGGCGGGGGAGAAGAATAAGAAGTTGGGAATATGTTAAAATCAAGACATCTGTTGCAAGTTGAAAGACTGAGTATTTTTTATTATGGGGCATTCATGAAGTTTACCTGCACTCACATTGAAAGATGTTCCCCGACTTAGTTTTCTAACATTCAATTTTCAAATCAACTTGGACAACTGCGTGCTAGTACGCCGTCTCCTGATGAAATCCGTAAAGAAAAATAACTAAATTTCTAGTCTTAGATGTTGCATGCTGCTCGGTGGATTGCCTATCCGCAACGGTTCATTTTTGTATCCATCACAATTATGCGATTAATTATTTCAATTTTAGTTTTTTTCTTCGAAGGAGAGATTCATTTGGCAGGGACAGTTACTACATCGTTATCAAATATTGTTTTCGTGAGGCAAGTTTTATGAAAATTATGGCTTAATCGTGAAACAATAGCTAACATATAAGCTAGCAAAATATTAGTTTATTTCCAAACAATTATTGCCATAGATAAATCTCCATCTTACGTCTTGTAGCATTTATCCTTATCTTTTGATATTCAGTAATTTGTTTTAAGTTATTAAGTGATTCCGTTTGATATAGAATCAAATAATGAAAATTTACATGAAGAAATATTCCTTTTGCACTGAAACTAACTGCAAGCCAGACTAACACTGAAAAAACGATCAAACAAATTAAAACCCGATATGAAAATTAAAGGTCAAAGTAAGAAAAAACCCTTTTTTAAGGGCATTGTTACGCTTCTTGGCGTTAATAGATATACTAGTTTTAAGCCTTTTAAATGCAACATTACTGACAGGATAATCCTACATTTTTAAAAATATTTTAATCATGGTGCATCCAAAGAGTGCGCCTCTCTAAAGGTGAGTAATTAAAAGATGCCGCAATATCCTTAAGTCTTGGGTTTTCGGCAAGATGCATGATTTAAGGTATTAACTTGTCTCTCTTCCTTTCATGTAAATTATATAAATTGACATTACATTGAAACCAGTTGCAGGCTTGACTCATTGAGGGAGCGAGCGAACAAATGTAAAACAGAAAAATTGAGGTTGTTTAAGAGGTAGGCACAAAATTAACGGATGCCAAGGCCAGACGCTAATATGGCAATTACGTGTAAAACGTGAGTAAGGTGAGAAAAACTAGTATTTTTAATTTGAGGTAATCATGACCAGGGTATTACGCTTCTTAAATACGGAAAATGAATCAGACAATCAGATCTTATGAATTTCAAACTTTGTAGAACTTCAGAGCGAGAAACTTCTATTAGAGTGAACATAGTCCCATTAGCCTGAGGAAATTCGTTGATTGTACCATCCAAACAGTCGGATGTGTCTACCTTTGATTAAAGTGTCCTCTGAGCAGCGAAAAACATTTAAGCTGAGTATAAATGATACTGAATATGAATTCGCCGTGCAGTTGAATTTAGCCTTAATATAAAATGAAGAATACAAGTTAGTTGTTTTAGACTTATTGTGATTATCCATTCCGTTCATATATAGATAACCATACATAGGTGTGTCGAAAGAGTAGTTCCACGAACGATTGATTACTGTGACACTTCGGCAAGTAAGATCTTTGATGGCTACAACAGTCAAAGACAACAAATGCGACGTACCAGAGGTGTTTCCTCTCGCAACCAACGACTCCACCACCACGATAATAAATCTTGCCATTGCTGGATCCAACTTGCCGTTTGGTATCTTCGCGTTTCTTAGCAACCTTGCTATCATTGTTGCTGCCCTTAAAACACCCTCCCTTCAAAGGCCTTCTAACATTCTCCTATGCAGCCTCGCCACATCAGACTGCCTAATTGGGTTGGTGGCTCAACCGTTATTTTTTATATGGTGGCTGTTTGTCCAAAGTCCTCAAAAATGGTGTCCTTATTTGAAACCAGTTACCATTGTTTCTTGGATATCCAGGATGCTCCCTATTGCATTGTCGCTGACTTACATGAAAGTTATCAGCCTGGATCGCTGCTATGCATTGTGCCGCCCTTTGGCCTATCGGGCAAAAGTCACCAAACGAGGTAAAACATCATTTTTTGCTTTTTATCAGTTCAGAGTGAATTTTGGGTTGTTCCAGTCCACTGATAGGGTGGGAGGGGGAGAGGAAAGGGATAGGTAAACTTCAAATCGCAAATGACACATTTGCACGATGACGTCATTTGCCTACAGCTACCAGCTATAATAATTAAGTTTGTTGTTTTTATATGAAAATCAAGGTTATTGTATTCATAAAACCCAGGTGGACTTAGAAAGCTCTTAAACAGTGAAGTAAAGGTTCAGTAATCAGAATGTAATGGGGAGACTTTTAAAACTGGGAACACCTTCCTTAAGATTACTATATAATACAAAATGCTTTTTGAAATAGCTTGCTGGTCCCCACTTGATGGTCTCTTATTGGACGCTGTCGCGCATTGGTTGCGTGAGACTAGCAGAGCCTTTTGAAGACGAAGGAGACCCCTCTTCTTCCCCCCTTCTCATCACCACTTGTTAAGAGGGACAATAAAGGGGGGCAACTTGGGGCAAGTCAATTAAAATAGAGGCTTTAGGCGTGGGGCAAGAAGTCACGTGAATAAAAGGAGCAAGAATCCCGAAAGAGCAAAAGAAATTAATAACTCAAGAAAAAAAATGTAAATTGCTTTTTTACCCACGAAGCACTTAGGAGTTCGTACGAACTCGTTTAAACGTGTCCGTGCGTTCCAGATCGAATTGGAATTTGGAAGTGTTGGTTTTTAAGGAGAGGGGAAAACCGCAGTATCCGGAGAAAAACCTCTCGGAGCAAGGAAGAGAACCAACAACAAACTCAACCCACATATGGCGTCGACGCCAGGAGTTCGAACCCGGGCCACATTGGTGGGAGGCGAGTGCTCTCACCACTGCGCCACCCCTACTTCCCAGGAAGTATTTTATTTTATTTTAGACTACCAAAAATTGTAAATAGAATAAAAAAAACTGGGACATACAAATCCCTTCTTAAAGACCATTGTCACAGGATTCGCCATTTTTTTAATGAGCAAGTGTAAGACTGGGCTAATAGTAGCTGATGTATTCCAAGAAACGGGTTGCAATACTTCTACCATGATAGCTTTTTTTCCCGTCTATTACTCCATTTACACTCTTGGATCGAATTTCTGTGTTTTATATGCTTTTTCATGGCCTGGCTCCAGCACTGAATTTAGCCACTCGCGCGATGTCCATTCATATAACACGCGCCATAGAGATTTGCTCCGTCTGCCGCTAGCTAGGACAACTAAGTACGAGGGTTCCTTCAGGTTCAGCGGAGCCAAGATCTGGAACACGCTACGCTTCCTCTGAGCATGATATTAAAAAGTTTGCGTTTGGTATAAAAAGGCACTTTAGATCCAAGCATAATTGAGCCTCCCTTACCGGGAGTTTTGTTATACTTAGTTGTACCATTTTTTTTTTTAATCTTTTTTTGTCTTGTGTGTTAGTTTTTCTTTTCATCAGGGCCCCATTCAAACCAGCCTCGCTGAACTGGGCATTCCCTGAATAAATATTGTTTAAAATAAATAAATCATATTTTAATGTTTTATATTCCACTATGAATCCAGAGATGGACTTAGACTTTAATTTTGTTAAAACTTTTTACATTCTTTTCGCAGATGCTGTAAAGATTTCTGTGATCACCGCATTGACTGCGATGGCATTAGTTGTACTCTTAAACATCCTACCATTAATTCATGCTACAGTTATTTCAGCCATAATTTGTATTGTTTTCGTCATTTTCCCAATTGCCAATTATATAATAATGTTTGTGGCTGTTCGTTACCACAACCGTAAGGTGCAAGACATGGTTTCATCCCTGCAATTGCAAGTAATACTGCGACGCGAGAAAAAAGTTGCCATGAATATGTTTATTGTTTTTGTTGTTTTTGCAATTTGCGTGACTCCAAAATATGTGTCTCTCATCCTTTCTCAATCATTTGGCAGCCTCTACCCTAGTATTTATTTATTGTCCACAACTTTATTGATGCTGAACTCGAGTATAAATCCAATTCTTTATATCTGGCGCGACTCTGGCCTCAGAGCCACTCTAAAGTCTTATGCATGGTAAACATCTGAGAACATGGACAAGCAAGTAATGACAAAAACAGCAGTTAAAGGAGCAGTATCCAAAAACTTATTTAGAAAGGTTATCAGACATTATTATATAGCGGAGCCCTGCGCTTAAAACTGCTCTGAGGTCCATGGTAAAAATCTGAGAACATGGGCAAGTGAATGCAAACAAACGGAATAACATTTCTAAAGTCTCGAGCACTTTTAAAGCCTCCTACTTAAAATGTTTATTTACCCACGTTAGCAATCAGATACAGTGGAACCTAGCTATAAGGAACAGTCCTCGGTATAACGAATAGAAGCAACAGTTCCTGCAACAGTTTGATCATGGTCCCATAGTTTTTGATTGCCGACGGCATGTTTGACCATTGTCGGCGATGGTGTGTCCGTGGTGTGTGACCATGCTGTGTTATCAGCTCTCGACCATGGTACATTGCCAACCATGGTTACAAAATAAATTATATAATTATTGCTTTTTATTAAATCAGTAACAGTAAATAGCGAATGTTGTCCGGATCGTTTTTCCCATTGATTTCACGGCCAACAAGAATAACCTCAAATTCAACTACGCTAATTGATAATATCTTTACAAACGACGCAAGCACTGATTGCTCTGCTAGTAGTTTGCCGTTTACTGACATTTCTAAGGGCTATCTCTGTAATCCCTCTTCTGACCGCGAAAATCAATACACAAAAATATAGAAAAAAATTAACTTGTTCTTTACGTGCCGTTAAACGTGCATATTATTCGAAGAAATTAAAGGAATATAAATCAAATATGAAATCAACTTGGAGTATACTCAATGAAGTAATTAATAGCAAAAAAGCAAGAGTAATCTACAAAAGACGTTTAATGTTGATGACAAGAAAACATCCGATCTAACTCAGATCACGGACCATTTCTGTGTAGTGCTTCTAGCCTGCGTAACAGGCGCCAGCCACGCAGGTTACAGTACTTCAAGTATATAGGACCAAATTTAGCGAACTCAATTCCACCTTGTCTCACTCACCTTTCTTTTCTTTCTGGAGCTTTTGTGAATTCGTTGTACCAACAACCAACTACTGAGCAGGAATTTTTATTGAAATTTGTTCTAGTTTTTGTGCAGGAACTTCTGCAGGCTATGACCAAATTACTATGAACGTAATCAAGAAATAATAGATTTAATGGTTCAGCCATTCAAATCAAATCAAATCAAATCCTTTATTTAGACACGTAACACCCAGGAGCACTAAAGTTCTCGTTAAAACGTGTACGTGTATACAAATTAGAAAATTAAAAATTAAAAAAAAAATTATGCTAGAAACCTTTACATTACTACTGTAAAAAATACTAGCTATAAATAGATCTACAAAATGCCTAAAAGCAGAATCTAAAACTAAAACTATTTACAAGCACTACACCCTAAGCCATGTGAGCTTTAAGAGATCGCTTAAATGACGCAATGTCTTGTGATTCTCTGACTTTTGGAGGTAACGCATTCCAAAGTTTGCTGGCTAAAAATGTAAAGGATCGATGCATAAACTCCAGATTAAAGGGAGGTAGATCTAGCCTTGTGCTAAGCCCACGTAAGTTGTACTGTACATCCTTAAAATTAAAAAATTCTCTGATATAAGGTGCCCCCTTGTCATACAAGCATCTGTATAACATAACTATCGATTGAAATTGCTTACGTTTCTCCAAGGACTTGATATCAGCCATCTTGAGGAGGAAGTCATAAGACACAGACTTCGAATAGCCTAATATAGTTCTTAATATAAAATAATTAATTGTCTTTGTTTTGGTAGTCTCCGCATTGCCTACTTCCAGTAAAAGGGGATCGACTACAGTACTCTAGGTGAGGAAGAACATAAGCCTTGTAGAGACGAACTAATACATCCTTAGAAATGAACTTACGTATTCTCCGCAGAGCCGAAGCCTTTGCACACGCCTTATTCAGTTGTTCCTTTATGTGCGCTTTAAATGTTAATTTACTATCTAGGACCACTCCTAGGATTTTAAGTGTATCCTTCGTATGGACATTAGAATCATTAAGATCGAATTCGTACTGGTATGGAGACGGACCAATGGCAATAGCTTGCGTTTTAGCGGCATTAATCTGTAAAAAATTCATTCTAAACCATCTCGATATAACGTACATAACTTAACGTACATAACGAATCGTTCCCGATCAAATGAAGATAGCCAGAGTTGTTCCTTTTTGAAACAGGTGATCTCTCTCTGTCTACCAATTATAGACTAGTTTCCGTGTTGCCGGCTTTTTCTAAGTTTCTAGAAAGGACTGTTTATAATCGTTTGATCAATTTCTTGAATAAATTTAACATCCTTTCTAATAATCAATATGGTTTTAGGAAAAATCACTCTACTGTATGTATGCGTTAATTCAATTATATGATAAACTTTCAGATGCGATTGATCAAGGAAAAGTTACTTTGGGTCTATTTATTGACCTATCCAAGGCCTTCCACACTGTAAACCATGATATTCTACTTGCTAAACTAGAGTTTTATGGGGCTCGTGGTGTTGCATTACAGTGGCTCAAAAGTTAACTTTCTTGTAGAACTCAATTTGTACAGTACAATGGCTTTAATTCTTCCTCCAAATACACCACATATAGAGTGCCACAAGGGTCGATTTTAGGTCCATTATTGTTTTTGTTATACATTAATGACTCGTGTGATGCGTGAAAAGCCTTGGATTTCATACTTTTTGCCGATGATACCAACATCTTTTTTTTCTCATAACGGCCCAAATCAACTCATGGAAATTGTGAATAACGAATTGAAGAAACTATCAAACTGGTTTCCGGCTAATACGCTTTCTATTAACTTAAAAAATTCAATTTTTTTCTATTTAAAACAAAACAAATTTTACAGGCAAAAACTTGAGTTACAGTTTTCAGTTAATGGTATTGAAATTGATCGTGCAAATGAAGTTCTGTTCTGCCGTTCTTGGGAGTTATACTTGATGAACACTTATCTTGGAAATCTCAAATACAAGCACAAAAAAATCTCAAATACAAGCAAGAAAAGTCTCAAAATCAGAAGGCATTATTTACAAATCAAGTTTCTGCCTTAATAAGACTTCCTTATGTACTCTCTAATATAAAAATTTGGCCAGGGCTAAAAGCGAAGCTCTGGTTAATATTACGTGTAAATTAAATCGCGTAATGCTAAACGGGGACGACAATGAAAATGGCTTCAAGACTAATTGATCTAATTAGCAAAAAAAAAAATTGCACGTGCAGCACACTTTTTCTTCTAATTAGCCAAAAACGAAAAAGCGTGCTGCACGTGCAAATTGAACTTGCACGTGCACGCTTTTTTGTCTTTCCCTTGCCGTTGTTTTGCACGACTACAACGCTGTTTTGTACGACTAAAACGTCAACCTTCCTAGTTACACATTATTTTTATGGAGGAATTGTCGTATGTGCTTACCCTATATTTTGTTTCCTGTGTTCATGTTCGCTTTAATTTTTCATTGCCGCTCATTTTCACCTTGCTGGCCGCTAGCATTTCTCATTTTCTCACCGCCGCTTTGAATTTCCATGTTTTTCTTCCTACGAATTCGTCTCCTTTGTTTTCAATGACTCGCTCTAGCTGTGGTACGGACGGACGGTCGGGCAGGCGGTCGGTCGGTCGGTGTACCGTCACGTGATTACCAAATTTTCTCGGATGGGTAGATTACCACATTTCCCTTGATTTCCTTAGCTATGGGACTCCGCCCACGAGCGGCGCTTCGCGCCGTGCGTGGAGCTCCGCTGTTATGGTTGTGTTTATCCTTATTTACATTACTAAGCGAGTGCTTGGGGCTCAACTTATCAGTCAAATCTTAAGCGTTCAATTAATCTTCAGAAACGGGTTATTAGTCAGAATAGTTTCCAGGAGTTTTTTTGATGCACATGCCAATCCTATTTTTGTAAGCTTACGAATTCTAAAATTTGAAGATATTATCAAGCTCCAAATAGGTAAAGTTATGTACCTTTATAAAAATGGCCTTCTTCCTAACAGTTTCAATGATATTTTTTTGCTTAACTGTGACTAACACTCACATAATTAATGTAACACTAGAAGTTAGGATTCCTTCCGTTTGCCCTACTGCAGGACAAATGTAAGGAAATTTTCACTTCGTTTTCAAGGGCCCAAAATACTTAATTCCCCTGGTCTTAGGTCATTTTTTCTTGGTATAGTAACCACACTTTAGCTCTCCTAATGCTTGTGTGTAGTTTTTCGCTTCTTTCGCTTTTTTTCGTTTATTCTTGCATTATTTTTTTCACCTTTCCTTTGTCAGTCGTGTTGGCACTTACACGTTCAGCCTTTTGTATTTTTATCCTATTTAATGATTATTTTCTATGTTCCAAACAAATTGCGAGTACTTTTTGTTAAATTACCGATGTCAGTACTGTACTTCCTTATTAATTAGATAATATAATTTTAAAGGTGGTCCTATACACAAGCCTTATTGGCTTCCTTGGGCTCCCTTGCCTCATCTTTTTTCTTAATTTTATATGTATATTTTGTGTGTATGGCAAAATAATAATAAAAACAGTAATAAAAAGGTTGGCTTTGGCCAATTCTTTATTTTCTCTGCGAGACATCGACTTGACACTTGGACTCCCCAGAAGACACGTGGCATGGCGTGATTCCGTGGGTGTTGAGAGTTCTAGGTTAGGGCTTAAATCAGAGTGCGCGGATAGATTTCATCAGAGCTTTCTCTGGGCCCAGTTGCTCGAAGCATGGTTAGCGTTAACCAGCGTTTAATACCTTGACAACGTATTGGTTTTGATACTGCTTTGCCAATGGTTAAAGCTAACCATGCTTTGAGCAACTCAGCCCTGGTTGTTACGCCATACTGACGAGCCCCAAAGAGGGCGAAACAGCTGTCTATGGCTACAATCCCGCTCTGTTTTGAATTCTTTCGGTGTCGTGTTGATGTCTTGCAGAGCTAATTCTTATGTAGTTCGATCAGCATTGCAGTATTCTGCTTGCAGAATTTAATAT